ATACTTCCTAGGAGAGAACACCAGTTTGGGAGAAAACCTGACGCTACTCTTGGTTAAACACTACATCTATCTCAACAAATTAGACAATAAACCACCAAATATGACAGGCCTCAAGAAATATGTTGAAGCCCAGGAAATCATAAGCAGAAGCAATGCAGAGAAGAATAACAAGTTAGAAGCCCATGACAAAGCATGGAAAACTGCTCAAAAGATATTCAAGCAGTAAATAAAAACATTGTAGATCCCTTTACAACATATAGTAAACAGCATCAAAATAGGATAGGAAAGCACACCCCTTGCATTGGTTTTACATACATTTTATTCTTACTCATTCTTTTATCAATCAACAATCAACAACAATTGCAATTTTATTCAACATTCATTTAGTCAACATACATTTACAACATAACTATAAGTATATTTTTTTGTCTACGTAAATTTTATTTATATTATTAATTGCATTACATTTACATGTACATATTTATATTTACATTTACATGTACATAAATAAGAATGAAGGGATAAAAAAAAAACAAAAAAAAAACTATCCTTTGTACATTTACAACATTGAGAGACCTAAACACGTTGTGTTTATGTCATTTTGTTCCAATGCGGTTCGAATAGATTTCCGATAGAATTCCGAACATATGATACCAAGAACAAAAGAAGTGTCCGATGTGTTTTCTAAAACAGTATAGAGAAAAGTATATATATATATATTTCAAATTATAATGTTACCATCCAAAAGATGACCATTAAATTGACGATGTGTAAAATTTTCAGAATGTTTTGATGACTGGTTTAAGAGAAACGCATGTTCAAAAAGTTCACCATATCGATACCACTCCTTTATATTGAATATTACATGATAAGCAGTGAACTCGTATCAGTAGTAGCCATGATAACCTCTTAGTTGATTTATAAGGGGCATCGTCGGTGTGATGGCTAAAAAAGAACACGTTTTCATGATTACAGCTTATGAAATGTATATGTATGAAACATCGTGAATTAACTTGAATAAGTGTGATAACTTTAGAACAACTTTTGATATAAAATAATCAAAATATAACATGGAATAGGGCAAATTATTTTGTGTTCATTTTAACTGTTCATTTAAATAAAAGATGGAATATTTTTCAGAAATAGATTAATTTTCTAGTTTAAAACTAACATTATAAACAACAACTTCCTTAACTTAAGTCTCAAAAATGTAGATTTTTCGTTACTTGTGAGGCAAAACAGGCTTTTAACATGCCATTCATGAAATCTGATTGTTGTTGAACCAATCAACTCCATAAAATAGCATAACATTGCTAACAAGTGATAATCATTTTGATCACATGCTGTTATCATTCATTGGCATTTTTGGGTATTTGGCACTTATTAATGTATGATGCTGAAACTTCAGGATATAACAGATAAAACTTCAATTGTTATATTCACCAAATTTCAGCTAATTGAAGAAATTTGAAGAAAGTTAGAGCATATAGTGCATTACTTCTTGGACAACCCTCGATTCAATGGAATTGTTTGATATTTGGCATTTATGCATAATGCTTTTTTGACCCACCCTGTTGTTAACCTCATCATGTTTGTAAAAGTTCAAATCTTGCATGTTGCTATGCAAAGCCCTTGAGGAAACTAAAACGGATGTAAAATGAGTAAAAATGTTTGAAGTAATTATTTCAAAATTCACACAATTTCTTCCTTGCCATCTTAATTTTATTTTCTACAAAGTTCAGATATCTGATCAAAAGTACGGAAGATTTAAGATGCCGAAATGTGCAAATTCATTATGATTGAGAAAGGGATGTCTCCTAAAATGTTACTGTAGGAATATTTGCTAAATGTCAATTAACCTGATGAAGCCCGCCTTACTAGAAATTTATAGATTGATTTCTTTAAATGTGTCTCATTCTTCTATGGTTTCAACACATTGATGCGTTCCTTTAAATACAATTTACACATACATAATGTTGTCCCTTACAGTGTATTCACCTTTCCACAAAGTCAGCTCATGAATATTATAATGAGCCGCTTAAAAATCTGTGACGTCAATGGGAGAAACTTTTTCCCGCGAAAAACAAATGCAATTGAGTTTACATGTAAATTCTCGGTTGATTGCTGTAAGTTTTACCTCTTCAAATGTGCAAGTAATCAGTAAATTATTGACGGATTTTTATTGAACGTCAAATTGACATTTATTTACGCCTTCTAAGCGATTTAAATATTAAGTTTCTGTTCATAATGGAGTAAATAATTTGAAGAGAATAACCGTCCCGGTCAGTTTACAATCATGATAGGAACTGGATGTGAACAGGTGAAATTATCATAATCATTAGTTCACCAACATTATAATTAACATGTCCCCCATGCATAAAAATATATAGATAGACAATCTATTAAAGTTAATCTTCAGTGTCATTTGATGAATGACCTGTTCAAATCAAAAACATTTGCTCTTATTCATTATATCATTGACATCACTACTCCCATAGTTCAATGAACTAAACGATTACTTCCTATTTATTTCTGCAAGTCATATCAGATCGTATCTTGAAAATATTATACTTGAAAACATCGGAATATAGAATTGATATCTTGGAGGAGCGTGCCCTAATATGTATGTACATGTATATATATTCCAATGTATATGTCACATATTTAACGCTGCGTATCTCCCGATCCAAATATTCCCGAGGAAATTTTTTTTTATTCAGTGTTGAAACAGTCAATTTGTCAAAATATCTTGCTAAAGCAAAACTGTCAAAATAGATCCAGCAGACCGTAGAATTTTTCTTAACCAAAATGATGCTTGATTTCTCGAAAATAATGAGAATGAGAACGCTTAATAGAAAACAAACCTGGTTATGCGGGGTGTCCTGAAACTTCACTTGTGCAACCTTGTGCACTTTTTCATAGGATAAATAAGTTGTGATGATCAGTTTTGAATAATGATCACTGGGAAGATTTCAGGGAAAGAGCGTATATCATATAGTTTATTGATAATATGTTGACATTGCTGATCGTTATTGAAATCGCTGATGGCGAATAAATACCAAAAGGTAACGCTTTGCGCGAATGTCACTCGTGGTGAATTTCTGATGGAACTTCTTATACGACATAATAACCATTTAACAGGATATTGTATGACCACTATCAGATAATTAAACCAAGCTGTTTGTAACTTCATAATTTACATTTTTGTTTACAATCGCACGAGACATGTGAGCCCGGGTATGTGAGGCTGACCTGAAAAGTCTTAATAAACAATAGTTCTGTCAAAAAATGATTAAATCAAATTACATGAGATTCGGAATGAAAGTGCCCCGTCCATATCTTATATTTGATTAAAAATAATTAGTGCATTGGGCAAATAGAATCATTTTTATTGCAGTCAATTCAAAATATTCCTATGCTGGCTGTACTAATTCTTCAAAACTTTCTACCATTGACGTCATTGATTTGACTCATTTGCATACAACCAATCAGCGCGCCGGAAATTATCGATTTTCTTTACTTTGTGGAAAGGTGAATAGGATGACCATATCTGAAGATCCTCAATGAACAGACAGCCTGATTATGAAGTTAATTTATTTTTGATGAATTTAGTAGAGGTTCTGAATACTGAATTTTGGCATTTGGTTGTTTGTGTATCTTGACAATAACTCAAATAATAACCCATTAACAGATTTTGGTCAACTTTTACAGACTTATAGGCATATGGCCTCTGCTTAAGAAGGAATTTTCAGTATAACTGCTTGATTAAAAAGACCACCATTTTACATAAAAAACACTTTTTAATATTCTTAAATAGCAGTTACAGCTATTTGGTTTGGTTCTAATGTTATACGCTGATAACTCAAAATAAAATAGAAGCCTTATTTCTATTTCTCATGAATTTTTTTTTTTTTTTAATGACGCAACCAATCATCAGATTTAATCCAATTACGCTAATGCTAAGGAATTTAATGTCAAATCATATCCTGGGTGTAGATTTTGCCAACAGGAGAAAAAACTTCTATTATATTTAATTATTTCTTTGTTATTTCATGTAATTTCCAAAATATCTAGGAACTTGATAAAATATGTTTTGTTCGATGGGATATGCTATACTGTGGAGTTGGTGATTTTGAGATCTCGATTTCTAGTTTATAATAATAATGTTTTTAGTTTAGTAATAATAGGACTATCATTTTCATCCTATAATCCATTAATTACTTACTTGTATACTTTAGAGGACAAATATACAAATATGAACACAAAACAATTAAAACATCTATTACCTTTACCTTTTATTAACATTCTGTTATGCAGCACCATAATTTCTGATTATATACCATTGGAAAGAGGAGTTTCAAATTGATAAAAATCTTGTTACAAAGCATGTCTAACCAGCCATAAACAAATTGTCCAAAAAAGCTTAAATTATTAATACTTAACTTATTTAAAAGTTCTGGTTAACAACAATGGGCTATGTAGCATTGGCATCAGAAAGGGGAGGGCGTTGGGGGCGACAGTCCCCCCCCCCCCTTTCTAAGATTTTTTTAGATTTGAAACCGAGCCTATAGAATTGAAAGCTCTTGAGAGCTAATTAAAGTCAAAGTGTAATGATATCAGAAATGATTCTATGTCATTATCTAGTCTACATCAAGCACAGAAGATCTCATTTCTCATATTATATTCAATTCTATACCATAGTTTCTCAGGAACCCATACAGTATGTAAATACTTTGAAGAATAAGTGTAAAATGTATATTTTAGTAAAATTCAAAGTTTTTTAGTCAAAGTGAATGTGAATATATGATTTTAATATCATAGAATATTAACGACTCATGGGATTATGATGATTTATATCAACAATAGAAGACCCCTTTTAGATGTTACTTTTATAAATATTTGCATTGAATTTTGATCAATAAAGTAGAATAGAGGTAAAAGTGTATACCATTATACCTGGATCACATTTAATTGCACTCATTACTACAAATTAACACTATCAGAATTATGAAGAAATATAATTTATGAATTTTATGATATTGAAACTACAGTGAACTACTTTGCAATGGTGTATTTAGAAATGCTGACTAGGTTTAAAATAGAAATAATGCAATTACTTAAAAGTATAGGATAATCTAAATAACATACACTTCAAAATTACATAGGAGTAGAAGATTTATAGATTTCTGGAAGTTCAAATTATTGTATTTATTACCGCATTAGTATTCAAGAATTCAGAGGATTAGCTTAGCAGTTTATACAGCACTGGATCAACATGGGAATAGGCCGCTATGGCAAGTTGTGTCGAATCGGAGCAGTCACCGTGATGGTGTACTTTTTATTCCAATATTTAATCATTATTAAGACACAAACAAATAAGGTAAACAATATGTTAGATGATGGTTTAGGACATACGGAAGGAATTATTATAAAGAGGAAGTGTGATGACATTGCTACATCGAGAACTGAAATGTTACGAAGAAGGGATGTTCTTAGGAAGCATTGCCCCGTGGTAAAACCAAAACCTGACCCTCATTTGGGACTCTTAGTCAGTGACAAGCATAAAGTATTATTCTGTGATGTTGCCAAAATTGGAAGCACATTTCTGAAAAAAATGTGGTATATATTGGAGAACAATTTGCCAGAAAAAGATCCTATGAATATGAAGAAAAACATTTTTTCAGTACATTTTCCACGTTTGGCAGATTTCAACATAACAGAGAGGACAAAACGAATTAATTCATACACGAAAATGATCTTCACCCGAAATCCATACAGTCGATTATTTTCCGCCTACCAGAATAAATTTGTGACAGTCAATCCGAGTTATTGGTCTATTGCTAAGGGATTTATCAAAAGACATCGCAAAAATCCCAAAGACCTTTCCATTCTTTGCGGACATGATTTGACATTTGAGGAATATCTCTCAATTGTCAGTGAAAATCCCCGAAATACTCGTTATATGGATTATCACTGGAGACCGCTGTCCGCATATTGTGACCCGTGCTCAATTGATTATGACATCATCGGCAAAATGGAATCATTTAATGAAGATCTTCAACATTTTTTGTGTAAAATTAATGCTGAAGATAAAATTAATCTGCCGCATGTCAATCCACTGGCTCTTCGAAAATTCAATGTTAAACTGGAAATTTCGGATTCAGTCGGAAACATAAAAAAAATTGATGAAAAGTGTATCCCAAAATCAGAGCTGGTCAATAGGGTGGTTCAGAATATGGTAAACCATGGCTACATCGAACCCATTGATAAGATTCACATGGCAGATATCCCGATTAATTACACACAGAAAGACTTAGTGGAGTTTATAGGCAGACACATGAACAAGTCTACAACTGAAAAATTACTCAGTTTACCCAAGTTAATCCAGGATAATTCGTTCCATGATGTTTCACCTGATGTTTTGAACAAAATAAAGAAACTTTATGGAGAGGATTTTATAATGTTTGATTATAACATGTCTGAGTACTAACTCTATTGATTCCAAATAGAATGTTAAAGGATCTTTACCCATTAGTGAATTTAAAAGCCATATATAATGATAAAATGACATTTTTTTAAGGAAACTCAATGTTAATTGGTCATCCATAATTTCCTCACTTAACCTGAAATTCTGTATAGTAAAGGTATGTAATCCAACCAGCCAAAAGTGTTCAGATTAGCAGGTGTTCACATTTCAAGGTTTGTAAACAAACATCTACCGTGTAATTCAAAATTCAAAATACACATCACGACAATCCAATACTAATTTTACCAAAAAAAATTAAAAACAAAATGTCTAACTAGAACAGGTGATGTGTATATTTATAGTGTTGTAATTCAAATGAGTAAAAATTGTCACAAAGATATTTATAAACGATTTCAAACTAGTGAAATACATTTAAAAAACAACTGAAAAAGTATAACAAAAGTGTTACTCTAAATTCATGATATAACAAGCACACAAAGTTATAAGACAAAGATACCAAAGTTATTAAAGGCATTAAACAAAAACAGTTTCAAGAGCTTTAAATATATCAGACATAACTGTAAGCATATTATTTAGATAAGAGTTAGTTAGTGTTTTGTATATATGTGTACAATGCTTTATCAGTGAATAATAAATCAACATTATCAAAAATTATCATGAAAATGTGATAACATGAAAATATTGGCGGTTTGGATTGTGAATTATTATTATATAATATTATATTATAAGTATTATTATAAGTAGGGCTAAAGGTTTACTATAATCCATATCTTTCTCATTAGTGTACAATTGATTTTTGTACTTATTTACAAAGATCAGTTACCTGGCAGAAGTCTTGTGAGCTTCTTGTTCCCACACATGCTCTATAGTTCCAACATATATCAACAAAGTTGATTTGAATATACATGCAATTACGTATATTAAAGGCCCACTTCATAGTATGTCCAATGTATTGGTAAGAATCCTATCTTTCATTTGACACCAACAGCAGCTCAAACAGACCACATCAAAGCTTACAATAAATTATTAAAAAATATTTCCGATCCGTCAAACTTTATACCTATAGAGCAATATTGTAGTTAACAGTACAAAAATTGGTCTAGTGATAATAAAATAAATACTGGATGACCATGAGGTGGATATGCCAGATTATCCTACACTTAGTGTACTAAATGTATAATAACATGAAAAAATAAATTTGATATTTATTGGCAAAATGAATATCCAGAGGATATCGTTACGATATACTCCGGGCGGAGGATATCGTGACGATATACTCCGGAAACCCCAATATGCGGAGGATATTGTGATGATATACTCCGCTTGTTGATTTCCCGCCAAATTGACTCTATTTGGCATGAAATTCATTTTACAATGATATTATACATTCAGTACACTCCTTGTAAGTGTAGGATAATAAGAACATCCTATGATTTTTTTCAGAATATCATTTTAATCTACTCGGTGATATTGATATATGCACTCGTTCGCTTCGCTCTCTTGTGCAGATATCAATATCACCTCGTAGATAAAAATGATATTCCTCAAAATCATAGGATATCCTATAAATACATATCCGAGGAAAAAAATACTAGGCGAGGCGAAGCTGAAAATTAATAATTTCTATTTATTGTACAGTATTGTTTAGTTAATAATGTATCTAAATGACTTTCTGAAGAATTATTTTATTGTTACTCTGACCCAATTATAAGTTCCATATGCCACTGCTGTAAATGTAATTTGGCTTTGTGTAAAAACTTAATACCCACATATATAGTAGATATAGTATCTAGATATTACGTCCACAACACAGTCTTCCCAGGGATCAATTTGTACAATTAAAACAACAACTAAATTCCAGGCTCATGCTCAATTATTTTAGGCCATACTAACTAGAATATTAAATAGAACCATATACTCGTTTGCTACATTTAACAATGATTGTCTCATTAATTGCGCCTATTTTTGAAAGAAAAGGAACAAAAAATTATTTGAGACATGTCACTCACACAGTCAATCAAATATGATAAAATCTTTAATTTGGGATAATACTGAAGTGAAAAAAAAATTACTCGCACAGAAAACGGCATTTGAAGTTCAGAGATTGAAAAAAGTGAATTACCACTTTTCAGAAAGTGTATGTTTTAAATAACTCTTGGATTAAAAGATGGCGTGTGCTTGAAAATCCTATCAAAAATGAATGGATAATCAATGCAAACAACAATGCCATCTTTCTATGGCATTGCTAAGAAATTGACACATATAAATTGATAGATCAAAAATATTTTTTCATGATCTAGTGTCAACTCTGATGTGGTCTGTTTGAGCTGTTTTTGGTGTCAAATGAAAGATTGGGTACTTATTAATCCAAAAATACAATTGATCATTCTTGATAATGCATTAACATATTCCTCATATATGTTTTCGTTACCTGAAATATTTGGGAACGATTTAGAAAGTTTTAAGCAAAATTTCTTGCTAATATTATTGATGATTAAACCCTGCAAAGATTTATCAATGATGTAGTATGTGATTAAGTTGGAATGCGAGGAGGTCTATCATATTTTTATAATTATTATTTTTTATGATTATTAAAATGATTAGTGTAATAATTAGTGTCACTAATTACATTTTATTTGTGTAATAATTAGTGTCACACAATGGTATACAATTTGTACAAATAAATCAATCAGATTCATGGTAAAATACAACCAGCTGACAGGTGTCTGCGTGCTAAAACACTGGACTTGTACATACAATTGATATGGGCGAACAACTACAATTCAGCTTATCATACATATTGCAGAGAATACCTCCACACGTAAATAATACAAATGATTGTTATGTTGCATGTCACTATAAATAATGACTAGATTATAGAATACAAAAGGAATAAAGGTGCATCCAGTTATCACGTATTAATCATTTTGCAGTGAACCATTCAAAGTCAAATTGTCTTTTCATAAATACATGTACTAGCAGGCCCATAGTCAGGATTTGCCAAGGGGGGTTCAGTTTTCAAACATTTCTAGGGGGGGGGGTTCACTGCATGATTTTGAAAGAATTTTTGGCCAGGGGGGGTTCGCCCGAACCTTACGAACCCCCCCCCCCCCCTGGCTACGGGCCTGACAAGTACATGTTTTGTATAAAAGAGAAACCCATTGTAGCTTGATTGCTTTCGAGTGCATGAGGCTTATAAACTCATAGTCACTTATTTTCACATATTGAAGACTGATTATGAATGAACTAGCATTGTGTTTTAGGCAAAATTATAAAAAGGATATAATGCTGTTAACATACTTTTTACAGTTTCATGAAAAAGTGGTCTGAATATTATTTAATTCAGTAAGATTTTGATGAGGTATTTACTAAAAGTGTCATGGGTCAGATATTTTTCGGGTCGGATTGAGCCCAAAAAAGTATGCAGGTTGAGTAATTTCGGGTTGGGTCAGAAGAAAACAGAGAAATGAATTCAGAACTAGCAACTGAAACTACTGGGTAGATTAACAGCACATTATAAGCCTGTTTCAGCCTGCAATTTTGCATATTATGCTTTGATAAAGGAAAACTGATAAAACTTAGCAATAAATCGTTTGGGAAGAATCCTAAATTGTTTTCGTTCATAATTATATGTATACAAAATGATACCTCTAGTATTTACCTCGCCTGCCCATGGCCATGGCTATATAATGCAACCTAACCTCTCTGATTCAGTTCATTATACAATCTTACCAATGCAATACTTCCATGTATTTATCCCTATGTGTAGCCACTGTCCCATTTATCTGTTGTAGGTCTGATAGTGAGTGGTGCCAATACACAAGTGCCAAGTGCACCCCCTACACCCAGTAACAACAGTGGGCCAAGCACCCCTACTGCACCAGCACAGTCAGGTAGGTAATACTTGCTAATACACAAGTGCCAAGTGCACCCCCTACACCCAGTAACAACAACAGTGGGCCAAACACCCCTACTGCACCAGCACAGTCAGGTAGGTAATATTTGCCAATACACAAGTGCCAAGTGCACCCCCTACACCCAGTAACAACAACAGTGGGCCAAACACCCCTACTGCACCAGCACAGTCAGGTAGGTAATATTTGCCAATACACAAGTGCCAAGTGCACCCCCTACACCCAGTAACAACAGTGGGCCAAACACCCCTACTGCACCAACACAGTCAGGTAGGTAATATTTGCCAATACACAAGTGCCAAGTGCACCCCCTACACCCAGTAACAACAGTGGGCCAAACACCCCTACTGCACCAACACAGTCAGGTATGTAATACTTGCTAATACACAAGTGCCAAGTGCACCCCCTACACCCAGTAACAACAGTGGGCCAAACACCCCTACTGCACCAACACAGTCAGGTAGGTAATATTTGCCAATACACAAGTGCCAAGTGCACCCCCTACACCCAGTAACAACAGTGGGCCAAACACCCCTACTGCACCAACACAGTCAGGTAGGTAATATTTGCCAATACACAAGTGCCAAGTGCACCCCCTACACCCAGTAACAACAGTGGGCCAAACACCCCTACTGCACCAACACAGTCAGGTATGTAATACTTGCTAATACACAAGTGCCAAGTGCACCCCCTACACCCAGTAACAACAGTGGGCCAAACACCCCTACTGCACCAACACAGTCAGGTAGGTAATACTTGCTAATACACAAGTGCCAAGTGCACCCCCTACACCCAGTAACAACAGTGGGCCAAGCACCCCTACTGCATTAGCTCAGTCAGGTAGGTAATACTTGCCAATACACAAGTGCCAAGTGCACCCCCTACACCCAGTAACAACAACAGTGGGCCAAACACCCCTACTGCACCAACACAGTCAGGTAGGTAATACTTGCTAATAGACAAGTGCCAAGTGCACCCCCTACACCCAGTAACAACAGTGGGTATATTCCGTATATGTACGGTCGTAATTCATGTAATCAAACTTGAAGATAGACCCAGAAACCCCTCCTTAAAGGAGCCCTGTGTTCTGTGTTCTCAGCTACTGCTAAGCTACACGGGTGGACTATAAACCTTGGGTAAATCTTACTACAATCCTTTATATTACTGTATAGTACATGTATGATACAGTATGAATATAGAGTGATGATTATTTTTTTTATATATGCTCGGTATTTGGTGGTTGTTTTCCATAAATGGCAGGTGATGACATTCCACATGTTAATGTCTTGTCTCTGTATTCTAGAGAAGATGCCCAGTCAGCCAACAGTGCATCATACAGGCATTGCTACATCACAACCACAATCTGGTAGTATTACAAGTCTTCCACAAATGGCAGGTAGTGACATTCCACATGTTAATGTCTTGTCTTTGTATTCTAGAGAAGATGCCCAGTCAGCCAACAGTGCATCATACAGGCATTGCTACATCACAACCACCATGTGGTAGCATTACAAGTCTTCCACAAATGGCAGGTTGTGACATTCCACATGTTAATGTCTTGTCTTTGTATTCTAGAGAAGATGCCCAGTCAGCCAACAGTGCATCATACAGGCATTGCTACATCACAACCACATTACAAGTCTTCCACAAATGGCAGGTGGTGACATTCCACATGTTAATGTCTTGTCTTTGTATTCTAGAGAAGATGCCCAGTCAGCCAACAGTGCATCATACAGGCATTGCTACATCACAACCACAGTCTGGTAGCATTACAAGTCTTCCACAAATGGCAGGTGGTGACATTCCACATGTTAATGTCTTGTCTTTGTATTCTAGAGAAGATGCCCAGTCAGCCAACAGTGCATCATACAGGCATTGCTACATCACAACCACCATCTGGTAGCATTACAAGTCTTCCACAAATGGCAGGTGATGACATTCCACATGTTAATGTCTTGTCTTTGTATTACAGAGAAGATGCCCAGTCAGCCAACAGTGCATCATACAGGCATTGCTACATCACAACCACCATCTGGTAGCATTACAAGTCTTCCACAAATGGCAGGTTGTGACATTCCACATGTTAATGTCTTGTCTTTGTATTCTAGAGAAGATGCCCAGTCAGCCAACAGTGCATCATACAGGCATTGCTACATCACAACCACAATCTGGTAGTATTACAAGTCTTCCACAAATGGCAGGTTGTGACATTCCACATGTTAATGTCTTGTCTTTGTATTCTAGAGAAGATGCCCAGTCAGCCAACAGTGCATCATACAGGCATTGCTACATCACAACCACACTCTGGTAGCATTACAAGTCTTCCACAAATGGCAGGTGGTGACATTCCACATGTTAATGTCTTGTCTTTGTATTCTAGAGAAGATGCCCAGTCAGCCAACAGTGCATCATACAGGCATTGCTACATCACAACCACCATCTGGTAGCATTACAAGTCTTCCACAAATGGCAGGTGGTGACATTCCACATGTTAATGTCTTGTCTTTGTATTCTAGAGAAGATGCCCAGTCAGCCAACAGTGCATCATACAGGCATTGCTACATCACAACCACCATCTGGTAGTATTACAAGTCTTCCACAAATGGCAGGTTGTGACATTCCACATGTTAATGTCTTGTCTTTGTATTACAGAGAAGATGCCCAGTCAGCCAACAGTGCATCATACAGGCATTGCTACATCACAACCACAATCTGGTAGTATTACAAGTCTTCCACAAATGGCAGGTTGTGACATTCCACATGTTAATGTCTTGTCTTTGTATTACAGAGAAGATGCCCAGTCAGCCAACAGTGCATCATACAGGCATTGCTACATCACAACCACAATCTGGTAGCATTACAAGTCTTCCACACAATATAGGCCTCCAGAATCTTGGAGTGGGGGGTCTGCAGAATATGAACATAACAGGTCTACAGGGCTTACAGAACATATCAGGTAGATATGTTTATTATAGGTTTTATTTTATTATTCAAAGCGTTGATCATGATTACAAATAATTCCCAACCCTCTGGTGTTTGAAAAATGAAAATACTTGGGTGTTAATCCATAGATAATCCTTGAAAATGAGAAATATTTTTGGGGATTATTATGGTGCAATCTTATAGTTAATAAATTGCTTTAAAGTGTAAGAAAAAGGTTTTATGTTAACATAAAGTTGTCACTGATGTTGTTGATGTGTAATTCTCCTATAAAGAAAGAGGAGGGAAAACCCCAGAGCTTTAGAGATAACAGACATAATAACATCTCTTACTTACCACCTTCGTTTGTTTGAATTTTCACTGGCTAGTTTCCAAATACTACATTTCGATGTTTTATTTGATGTCGGCATATTCCGTACACCTTTCTTTACCTTGATCTGAAATAAGAAGCCATGATATTGGTTAACACGCCAGAAAGGAACATAATATTATTTGAACTGTATTTCGAAAATTTTGAAACTGCCATTGATGACATCATTTGTTTTGTCGATTTTTGACCAATCAGAGATGTATGTCATCTCAATACAGGTTCACATTATAAGCGTATGTCATCTTTGAACTCTGGGATTATTTCCCTTCTGTATAAAGACAAGGAAGATTGGCTCCCAGGGTTCTTGATATTCTGCCATATTTGGAGTCACATCTTGATTACAAGGTTGAATATTGAGTTGGAGTTCTGGGAGCCAATCCTCCTTGTTATTCCTCAGAAGAGAAGAACTATACAGGAAGAGTGCTGCCATCTTTTTATGAACATTCTTTCACCTACAGTACATGTTCTTTATTGTTCTTGAATATTACAAGTCTGCACTTTGCAGGTGCATAGCATGTTTATATCCCAAGAATCCAAGCCCATGTTCATAATAGCAAGTACATCAAACACCCCTACCACATTAGCACCGTACTTGGGGATTTAGTAACAAGATATGAAAAGTTACGGCTTATGAATAGGATCATAGTATATTCCACGCCATCTATTTCTAACTGAAGTGAATTTTTTGTCCTTTATTCCACTTAAAGTTAAAGTTTAATTCAGATATTCTCAATGTTCTATATTTTAGATTTAATACAACTTCACCTCCCCTCCTATTGTAAAACCATAAACGTAAAATTTCAAGGGTCATTCACCTCCGATCCTCCTATGGTAAAACTATAAACATTCTTGTTTGGTATGAAGTATGCCTAAAGATGTTCTAGAACTCAGATAGTGCAAGTGCATTAAGATTAGCAACACTTGAATTTCAATTTATTTATCCAGATCATCAAATCTAATCTGCCTACTTTAATTATATTTTCAGTGTCTGTGACACCAGGTGGTACACTGCAGGTTCCAGTGCCCATAACAATGATCAACACCTCTAGTAATCTTATTAGTAGCCCTAGTGGCATAATCCACCTAGGTTCAGTGCCCACTGTACAGTCTATAAGCACATCGACCAGTAACACTTCAACCCTTGGAGCTAGGCTACAGGTACACTGTTTATTTTACTTATAGTTTTAATTTGGGATACCTCCATGGCCCTTAACCCATTCTAAAGAGTTTTGAAACTTCAACCATGTAGATAAGAAATAATTACAGTGAAACCTGTGAAGTGGAACACCTTTAGAAGTGGAACACCATTGTAATTGGAACACTTTTCAGAGTCCCAAAACCAACTGAATATACATTAAATCAACCTCTGTAAGTGGAACATCTCACAAGTGGATCACTTTTTAGAGATGTTCCACTTAGACAGGTTTTACTGTACCTAAAGTTTGAAGCCTTATAATGGGTTTTACACAAACAATCGGCAGCACATCTGACTGATAGATTAATATACGTTCATCTTCCTATTCGTGTATCGGGATGTGTTTATCTGAATAAATAAATTCACACAATTTTTTATAGACAAGCCAATCAGGGATGGTTACCATGGTGACAGGGTCTAATCAACAAGTCAGTGGACAAACATCACAACTTATCACCACCCAAGGTAGGATAACATCAAGTAGTCATTTATATTATTTTTATATTATTAAGGGCCTCTAAATAAATTGCATGATCATTGACTACTGAAAGACAAAAATAGAGCACGTAAGGCTTGCATGGCAATACGTGGTTTTGAACTTTAGGTTGTACCATGTGATGCGGGTGTCTCTCTCTTACCACTAGTCTTAGGTCTTAGTCTCAACAACTTACAATCGCTGTATGCATGCTTCATTTAAATCATGCTCTGGTGCTTTACCAAAGATATTTCCAGCCATGGGACATATATATTCTTGTGACTCTTCTATCCAATGCAGATACCTTGAACAGAGGAAATTTACATATTACTAACTTGTACTATGAAAATTGATACTCTGTAATGTGTTTTACTGCAGTTGTGTTTTTTCATTATTTTATGTGATAAATTCATTCAAAATGAATCTTATCCAGGCAAGCAGGGTACAGCTCCCACTACTATGCTCTCTGTACCCATCAACATGGCAGGGAGTATAGGCCAGCTAATGCAGGCAGGTCTAAAGAACAATGTAGGTCAGACCATACGTCAAGGGACCCAGTTACCTGTTCTTCAGGTGAGTGAATTTGTATATTGAACTAAAAGGTATTTTGATGATAGAAAATTGCTCATTGTCAATATTTTTATTGCAATATTCCGACTTGTATTTTGTTTTGCTCTTTTGATTATTTTACTTGAATTATTGAAAGTTCAATACAAGATCAATTATCAAGATCAGGTAATAAAGCCTGCCCCCTATCCGTTATGGTGCCATTGTTACAATTTTAGAAAGGAAATGGGATGAACTTAGCTAATTTTCAAAAACTGGGAGATCCAACGTTTATTCAATTTATTCGTACCATCATTCACAGTAGTTAACAGGTGGTACCAAAATTAAAAAACTAAAAAAGAAAAAATAATTTTTATTATTCTAATTTGTTGATAGATTCAAGGCCAACAGGGTATCCAGCTACTGAGTGCTACTATTCCCCAGCAGAGACAGGGGACCCCTATCAAGATAACTAACCAATCAGGCCAGATCACAATCACTTCAGGTAGATTATATATTACTCTTAAGATTGTAGAGATTTGTTAAAGCCTCAGTCACATTTGCTCTTGGCCTACTGCAGTCCAACAGCGGGTGTAGCTTCATAAAATCGATATAGAAAATCTACATCGTACTGCTTATCCCTATATTTTATGCTGTATATTTCTCTCGCTTTTGGGAAGCCACGGCCACCATATTACGGTTGCTGTAGATCAAATGTGACTGAACTTTTAGTCCTGAGATTCTTTTGGTAAAAGATTGGGTAGACGTGTAGATATTGTTATATCAGCGATAAGGGATGTGAACATTTTATATGAAATATATGTCCAAGATTTTATCCTCAGTCTAAAAATCGATAAACACCAATACAATAGCTTGATAGATAGTTTCCCAATTAATGTTATTAAAACGACCTAAAGTTAATATTTAAAAACAGCTGTACATATATCATAAAAAAGATACATTTAAATTAGCTGTCGCAATTTAGCTTGCATATGATATGAACGATTTATGGTTATCATAACTTGTAAAACAAGTTGAAGTATTATAGAGCCTGCCCCATTTGCAGTATGTCGTCTTGTTGTGTATGTGATCCAGGTTTGACTCCCAGTATGGTTAAGGTGTTTGCTATGTATTATAAAACAAGGCATTAACATGCAAAATGTTACCACCTGCCATTTGTTACAGATACAGACTGCCAAACGCTGAACACTAACCACTGAACACCATCCTCAAATAAGTTGAAGACTATAACAATAAAATATATGACTGAGTCGTCCAAAATTCATATAAAAGGCTTATTTACTTTCAGGACAATTACTAAGTCCACAAGGGGTTCTCTCACAATCAGTTGCATCCATGACGCAGTTTCCAAATACAGTAGTAGCGGGTCAGAAGCAACAGGTCCCCCAACAACAACAGCAGATCCAATTACAACAAATTCAGCAGCAACAGTTACAACTAGCTTTCCAACAACAACAATTACAACAAAAGGCTAAGACTAAGCGACGGACTACACCAACGCCACCTATGCCATAAAGTGAATTACTTATATTGTGGTTGTTGGATTGTTTAAATTATGGGTTGAGAATGTCAGTATAAATGAGTAAAATGCACCATGGGATTCAGTGGCTTCATTGAGGTATTACCCTATCATGGTCCTCAATTACCCAAGTGCGAGTAGGTAGTTACCAGTTTCACCACCAGGTGGCTGATTCGGGTCAATTAACATGGCAGGTATATAAGAAAATTCCCTTAAACTTGAATATTATCAATTTAAGTGGCTCAATTTTCATATAACCCATATGTGTCTGATACTTATACTTATGAAAATATGTCCAGTAAAGCAAAATATTATCAGTCCACTAAAAGAAAGGATATTTCATATTTGTGATTTTATAGCATGGGTCTATGGGGAATCTCCCCGAGCTAGAAGTCACATTTTCAAAGAAAATTAATTTTTCAAAGTTGATAAACACTTTTTAAAACCACATTTCTAGATGTAATTTTACATGTAGATTTCAAATATGATATTACTTTGACCGAATTTTGAATTTTTAATGACCTAAATCAAGATTGTTTCTACTCGCATCTGGGTTATTAAGGACAAATTGTTGCATCTATAAATACATTTACCACCAATAAAGCAGAATTTACTATGTAAGTACGATGACTGCAAACTGCAACATACTTTTAAAGCCATTGTCTTGCAACTAGACCTGGTCCACATACAGTAATACTTTGTTTTTCCACCCGAGGTATGTTTATGTTAGGGGGATTCCCAAGGTCTAAATTATGTTTTAGAGCAAGGTGAATGAAGTTTTATTTTTTAATGTAAATTATAAATGATTTTATATTTAAAGTCTATATGTTTGTTAATGAGTTTGCAGGATATCTGTAAAACAATTACATAATGTGTATTTTATGTCACAATTGTAAAAGGTGGCGTATTGTTATAGTCTCCAACTTTTTTGTGACAAATGGTGGTTGGGGTTCGCTATCTGTAACAAATGGCAAGTGGTGACATTTTGCATGTCAATGCTTTGTATACATCTGTACTGTAGTAGCAGAGTAGTACACAAGTCTTTTTATCAATAGTTTTCTGTAAGTTGAAATGAATGATGATAAGAATTCAGCATTCTGGAAATGGGATCAAGGCTAATTCTGTCAATGCTCTGAGAAAATGGAAAACTTGGAGGAGCGTTATATGTGTATGCTACATATACTGTACTTTTGATACTTACAAATAAATAAATGGTACTGAAATATAATGATATAATGTGTTTCTATTTTTTTGCTATTATCAATTGTATGAAACATATTGGGTGTCCCAAAAAAGTGAGACATTTTGACAAGTATTTTCTCAGCAATTGGACAACCAAATTCAATGAAAATTTGTTCAAACTACCCTAAGAGTATAATTAGCAGGTTGTAAAAATATAAGAAAGATATATGTAATGTGTGGACTAAGAAATTCTAAATAGCATGTCAAAAAATCCCATATTGGAGCTTTGTGATGATACCTTCATAGTGTTTGTGCAAGCTATCAGGTGATAGCATCAGTCAAAATAGCTTGTCAGTGTTATGTCTTGTTAATTCGTTTCATTGTTCTTAATATCCAAAATATATTCATTTTCAAAACTCATTTGATAGGTGATATTGTTAGAATAAATATGGAAAAGTATTTTCCTGGAAATGTATTAATAAGTGACCTTTAAATTGATATTGGTTACTTTGACATACTGTTTTAAATTAAACAATACTAACATAATACATTTAATATGTAACATATCTCTTACATATTCATAGCATTAGCTGAAGATACCCTGAACTGTCCCAAGTAAAGTTTTGAATGAATTTGGCTTATCTGTTGCTCAGAAATTACTCGTCAAATCACTTCTCATTTTTTGTTGCAAATGCTCTTTGCATTGCTCCGGTATGGGGTCTTTTGATCTTGATTTCTAAGTAATCTAATAATATTTTCTTGATATTTTTTATATTTGAAACTTGCTAACAATTCTCCTGGGCTACTTTGTAAAAATCTTCAGGGAATTTGGTACATCAATTGTTGAGAAATTACTTGTCAAAAAGTGTCTCACTTTTTTTGGACACCCAATTAAGTCCACCCGTATAGAGCACATATTGTATAAGGCGTTAATTACAACTGTGTATATATGGGATATACCTAACATCTTAGTGGAACACTGTCCCAAGACCAACTGATGTTATGTAAATGAACCTCTATAAGTGGAACACCTCCCAAGTGGAGAGGTACCCAACTAATGCCTACATCACATTTGATCTATGGCAACTGTACTGTGGCTGTAGCTTCCCAAAATCGAGTGAAATATGTGGCATAAAATATAGGGATCTGGATAAATAATATTACCAGGTATTCTACATCATTTTGTGAAGCTATGGCCACCGTACGACTGTTATAAGCAAATGCAACCAAGGCTTAAGATCCCATCATGATAGCTCATGCAACTTGCATGTACACCCTCTTATATCCTGATAGCATTGGTTCAATCAACAGGAGGTCAGAATTTACTGGATAGGTACTGCTCTAATTAATTGTCCTGATCTTAGTGCTGGGAATGTTTTAGTTGTTAACATGTTGGTTGATAAAACAAGTCTAGTTTGTATATAAACTATTTTTTTATTTTTCTTAAAAATCTTAAAATATATCAAAATCGTTTACAATGAAACTTATGGAGCTTAAAGGGCTAAACTGCTCAACTGGCCACTTTCTCAAAACAAATATCTGTTGAAGTTCATACTCATAGGAAGGCTATTGCTATCATTGACAGTTCAAGTTCAGCTATTTTAACAAGAAATTGACTGACCCAAAAAGACTGCTAAAATTCCAATTTATCCATACAATTTCTTTAAATTCAAATATACTAATACTGAAGACCATTCCTATAAACCATGTTAAGCAACTGTTGGTCTGTTCCAGTTCTTAATACAATATTGAGATGCATTTTACTTGGAGTAACACTGTATCATAGTAAACGTTTAAAGGCCCTATTACAGTGGAATATTTGATGATTAAAAATATCAACTTTTGAAAAATAAAAAGCTGAAAACTTTTTTTCAAAACATTTTTTTTTCAAAGATCTCTACAATAAGTCATGAACAATAGTAAACTTTGTATGGGGCCTTTAACATCCAAATAATAAATTTGATGTATATGATGATACTACTACACACTTTCACAAAAAAAGTTGAAAACAAGAAATAGAGGAAGTGTCATTTTAAAATTTAATCGCAACATCATCACCTTGAATTATGTATTCTATCAGTATATGTGCAAAAATCCAAATGAAAACATGATATCACCCCCAAAATGCAATCTGATTTTCGACCAAATTTTGGTGTCGAAAGGTTTGCCGGAACGGTGCCGAAACGGTGATGGAACAGCAGTGAATTTTTTCAATGCCGAATCGGCGCCGGATTATATTGGCTGTGTATATCAGCAATTTTATCATGTCACTTCCACAAGAGGTGACATATTGTTATGGTCCTCAGCATTTTTGTGGAGAGTGTTCGACAGCTGGCATTTGTAACAAATGGGAGGTGGTGACACTTTGCATCTTAATGCATTATTAGTTTGATTCTCACCATTCAGACAGTCATGCAAATCCTAAATATTATATCTTATCAAGAATCCTCTGTCCGAGTTTTTAAACTGCGAGCGCCACCAAACTTTCGCTTTTTGAAAGAAACTGCACCTGAGCTAGAGTCATTACTGAGAGAAGAAACAGTTTTTTCTTTGAACTTCATTTTTTTGGGTTCCGAGTGCATAACTATCGGAGCTGCTATTTCTTCACTCTCCTTTGTGACTGGTAACTGCAAATCAACATACTCCCTGGAAGTAAAAAAACATATAACTTAAAACATGTAAATCTACTCTGGTGACAACTCTACGATACAGAACAAGGCACAGGACGTGAACGAGATCACACCATCAAATAGGCAGACACTATGAACCAGGAAAACTGTTCTCCTATTATGTTAACAAATTCCAAGGACAAGAAAACAAGATGGCCGTCCAAAAGTTAATCAGCTCTAGTAAGGAAATCCGATGAGCGCTTTTCCTGAAATGGCGATGACAAGATTTTTCGAAAAACCTTCAAAATGGCCACCAGAAAACAAGATGGCCGCCCAAAATATAATCAGCTCTAGTACTTGATATCCTCTATCATGTGTGTAAATTTGAAGGAAATCCGATGAGCGGATTTTCTGAAATGGCGATGACAAGATTTTTCGAAAAAATCTTCAAAATGGCTGCCAGAAAACAAGATGGCTGCCCAAAAGTTAATCAGCTCTAGTACTTGATATCCTCTATCATTTGTGTAAATTTGAAGGAAATTCGATGAGCGGTTTTCCTGAAATGGCGATGACAAGATTTTTCGAAAAACCTTCAGAATGGCCACCAGAAAACAAGATGGCCGCCCAAAAGTTAATCAGCTCTACTACTTGATATCCTCTATCATTTGTGTAAATTTGAAGGAAATCCGATGTGCGGATTTTCTGAAATGGCGATGACAAGATTTTTCGAAAATCTTCAAAATGGCTGCCAGAAAACAAGATGGCCGCCCAAAAGTTAATCAGCTCTAGTACTTGATATCCTCTATCATTTGTGTAAATTTAAAGGAAATCCGATGAGCAGTTTTCCTAAAATGGCGATGACAAGATTTTTCGAAAAACCTTCAAAATGGCCGCCAGAAAACAAGATGGCCACCCAAAAGTTAATCAGCTCTAGTGCTTCATATGCTCTATCATCTCTGCGAATTTGGAGAAAATCTGATGAGCAGTTTTCCTCAAACGGCGATGACAAAAAGCGGGACGATCACGGTCACGATCACGACCACGATCACGATCACGACCACGATCACGACCACGATCACGACCACGATCACGACCAGTATGACGACTATATCCCACCGATGGTGTGATTAAATTAAAAATGGCCTTTAATTTAGGAAATTACCCAATGAACAAAAAACCTAATCAGATCTTGGAACTTAGCTCAAGCGCCTGTACAAATTCAAGATCAGATGAATGGTTTCTAGCTATCTTGATAATTACAACCCTAATTTTGTACTTATTCTTGAAAACATTTATCATATGAAAATGTCAGATCAAGTTTTACAACGTACGGTTCAGTATAAGTGACAGTCTCCCATTGCCCATAAGCCTGCGGTCTGGCTGGTCTTTTAGTAGCATGCTTCACTGGGGGCTTCTTCTCTTGGGGTAGTGGAATCTCATGGGTAGGCACCTCCTCTGCTTTTTGAGTATTCTGACTGGATTCCTGTAAAAATATGTTGGATTGATCAGTCTAGAAGAATGCTAAAAATACTGAAGTATATGTATGAAAACTGATGCACACAAATACAGTAGGTTATGACTGTAGTAAAAAGCTTCAGGCAAAGTTTGAAAGTATTTCTATCATTGATTCACGATCCAACATTCTCTCATACAGAAAGTTGGTTCATGAATTATGAAAATGCAACTTTTATAGATACGAGAGAAAAAATGTATTATCTTCACATTGAAATTGAAACAGTTATCATCATATGTCTCACATCATTATTTTGAGTTATATAAGATATAAGTCAAAAGATACAGCATTGGTTTAATCAGAGCTAATAAATACATATACAACATCATTCATCATTATTCGGGTGGATTGTAGTACTACCAACCCCCTGCTCCTCTCACAGGCCTGTACATTATATAACACACAGGCACTAATTTTTGTAATCTTGGTTCTAAAACGTGACGAACCTTGGTCTTTTCTTCAGGTGAAGGCTTCAGTCTGTCTGAGGGTGACACATAACCCTCAGGCTTTTCCCATGTAGTCTCTGGAAAAACAAATTGGACATGTTTCAGTAAAATAGTGAGCCAATATACTAGTGACAATTATAAAATTACTGGACTTCTATCTGAAAAAGTAACTGTTTCAACTCAAAATCATTTACTTGTTCACAAATATTTGCATACAGTAAATATTTCTTTCTACCTCCACTTTCTGTATGCCAGTAGTATGTGTGGCCCTCTGGTGACGTAGTTTCCTCCCACATTGTGGGGTCAACCTCAGGTTTAAAGCCAGGGGGTGGCAGGCTCGGACCTTGTAGAGGCTCATATGATGGCTTAAACTCTTCTTCTGAAATATGGAGAATTTAAATATACTTTACATTACACTATTGCCGTTGCCTTCCATAAATTCCAAAGAATGACAAAAATATTATGATGTCCACAAACTGGTCTAAGTTTTACAATATAAAATTTTTAGTTGTGGCCTGCAGTCAGCATTTGTTCCTTAGATCTAATATTCCTGATGACATTCCACATTGACTCTTTTGATGTTCCTGGGAATTATTTTTAGTTTGCCTCTGTATTGTGAACTCTCTGGCAATGAGAACTGATTGTTTCAATCTATAGAACAATTTGGCCTTTCTATTTTCAAGCCATCTTACTCACAACCTTTTGCTATACTACCTTTTTTCTTTGGCTTTTCTTTAACACCGTATTGGGCAGCTAGTTCAGGATTTGATGCGAGATCTTTCTCGAAGGCTGCCAGTGCTGCCTTGATAACATAAAGATCAATACATTTATTTGGATTCTAACTATTTCACAGTGATTGATCAAATAACAAGGAATTGTGTCTGTTTTAAACATGTACACTGGTGGAATATGGATCTGTTTTTATTTGTAAAAATAACTTAATTACTGGAAACATCTTAAAATGATAAGCTGTATCAAGTGCTGTTGCCAAATCTTAAATAATGTAAATTATGTAGAGATCTAATTAAATTTATTACTCTCTCCATTTCTTTAAAAGCATCTGAGTCTTCTTGTTTCTTTTGTGCCGTTTTAGCACCTTGCTTACGAATGTCTGCAAGCTTCCGGGTGACATTCTCCTTGTGCTTCTTTCCACCTTCATGAAAGTTTACACTCTGAAGAAAATAGCATGTTATATGATATGTATGAATGTATTATCATCTATGTGTCATGTTTCTCAATCTGTGAATGGGGGAACATGTCTCACATTACATAAATAAAATATACAATAATATGTAATGTCGTTAGTATTAGTTAATGAAAACACAGAATGAAATCTGTGCTAAAATAGTATTTGAATAATGTTTTTGCTCAATAAAGATATATTAATTACACAGAAAGTTTGTGACTAATAAAGGCTATTTTACTTTAGTTGGTTCAAATGTAAAGATGTATAATATTGCCATGCCTACCTCACTAAGATGCTGGACAACCAAATGCCAACCACTAAAAGGGTGGCTTATATTCTTGATGGGGACAGACATAATTAAAATTGAATGACAAAAATGTACTCACAGCTTTATTATCAGCAATCCAGCATTTGCAATATTCACAAAACTTCTTTGCCTGAGACACCCAGTATTCTGCCCTGCAAATCAATATATTTTGGTATTTTGCTGTTATTATCATGGTGATCAGAGCTGAATTTTGGAATTGACTTCCGAATAGAACAACATGGTTTCATTCCAGCAAACATATGAAATGCAGGAAGGTCGGCTCTGGTTACTCGAGTCTCTAGCTTACAGCTAGATGTGACTTCATTGATTTCGTATGTAATCTAGAAAAAGTGTCACACGCACCTACAGTAGAACTCCTATTTCATAATTCTTATAAATATTATAAGAATATTAATTATATTTAAGTTGAAGCGTTTCTTGTCTGGAAAATTTCATTTTGAAAATAACCTCAAACTCAACGGATCCGCCATTTATACAGCATACTCAGCAGAAAAATGGAAGCCATTTTGAAATGAAATTCCACTTACCTAGATTAAAATATATATAACAATCAATTAAGACGGGGATATGAGCTGACATTCTGCAAATGTATGCATACAGGTATGTTTCATATAATTATGCCGTAACAACTGTGCGTGTGTCACCATGATTTATAAATATTGAGTTACTGCTGAAACTGAGCTAAGATTGCACAACTTGAAGCTAATGAGAGTGCACAGCGTTCACAATTTGGCGATCAAGCCGAATAATTGGCAAGAGACTCAAGTAAATCTAGTCAATGTCAAAGAGTGCAAAGATTCGGGGTATCATGGCAGTTTCATCTCAATAAATATCAATTGAACAGACAACTGAAGTTACTTACATGATTTATTGTTCAATTCTCTGTCTATTCAAGTGTCAAGTCTGAAAAATGTTTCAAAGGACACGTGACTCTATATCTGCATCTAAATTGCACACCAATCTATTTTACAGTAGTAGCTGATTTGAAAATATCATTGTCAATCGTTAAAAGTTACAAGAGAGAACAATATTGAAGAAAACGTCAAATCTTTGTAAAATTTACTTTCAACCGGATATCAAATTTTCTCAAATAGTCAAACCAAACTCTAAACAAAAGACAAAATATGATTGGTCCAAATTTTTATTTGACACAGAACTAAATGTTATGAACCAATCAAAATTGATTTGATGTTTACGCTTGATCCTAGCGCACTTGCGCACAACGTGGCTATTGTTGTTGATAAAAAGTTGTGACAACTTTTGTAAATTTTTAACACAAAAGGTCCTTTTATGCAGCTGTGCACTCATAGATTGACAGAGTGAAGTGTCAGCTTCAAAGCGACCATGGTAAGTATGGTTTATATGCGTTAAAATTTCAGCCTGCATCTTCGAATTTATGAAAATATGAACACCGCCCCCGGATGATTTTTATTTGAAGTTCAGCCATAGTCCCGGCCTAGATAAGAGTAGGAAGACCCCAGAGTTATAATCACAGAACTCGGAGATTACTTCAACATTACCTCTCTTGCAATACCACCTTTGTTTGTCCCAGTTTCCACCATCTAGTTTCTGAATAGCACACCGACTACACTTTCTTAGACAAACCAGTATTCCACAGATGCCACAGATGGTAATCGGAAAATGTGAATTGAAGGCGGGAATTGATGGAGGGGAGGAGCTGATTTTTGCTCGAAAATTCAACAAATCACCAAGATTATTTTTTCACAAGAGTTTTTATAGTGAAATTGTGCATCTATAAAAGCAACAAATAAAAGTTTCGACATATGAAAACAAAATGAAATGCTAAAGCATGAATGAGTCTCATTTTAGCTGCCAGTCAGACTGGATGTATGACTATAACATGCCCTTATGAACTTTTACATACACTTAGTTAGACATAGGCCCCGGGAACATGTATAAAATAGCGAGTCGACGTCTGTATTACTACTTTTTCTTTTACAGACGTCGACTCGCTATTTTATACATGTTCCCGGGGCCTATGAGTAATACAGACGTCGACTCGCTATTTTATGCATGTTCCCGGGGCCTATGTAGTTAGATGTACTTGAATGTACTCGTAATAATTCTGCGTTCTTTTTCTTTTCAGGATTCCAAAGATGGTGGTAAGTTATTTATCTTAGCTTTAAATAAAGATAATAACCGTAGTATTTTATGTAGTTATACACTTGAATTTACTCTGGAATAAATCATCATGTCATATACCATATCTAGGATGGAACAAGTCATTTTTGATGAATATTCAAGCATAAACTATAATATACATGGTTAAGTGTCATGCATGTCTTCTATTCTGAAGTTACCCAATTTGTAAGCTCTTTTGGATTGTTTGAATTTTATAGACTGGGACAATTGGAATGTTGAGGAACCAGGAGGGATCGATAAGATGATTGATGCCTATGAGAAAGCCGATTCAAACATCAGTCGATCTACAGACACGAAATCTGATTCTCAATTCGACCAAGGGAGCAGTTTACCTGCTGTAAGTAAGCTTGTGAGAAATATTAAAGAAAATTTCTCTTTACCAAAGGTTTGTATGATAGTAGGTAAGGTAAAATGGAAGACCAAAGAACTGTAACAAATGCCAATCATTGAGAGGGAAGGCTTGAAAAGTACTTGTCAAAGTTCTTCATTTAAAGAAGAGGCTTGAAAAGTACTTGTCAAAGTTCTTCATTTAAAGAAGTTAATATTCGTAGGATTATGTATTTAGGACTTTTAATAGCACTCGGAATAACTGCTGTATTGTGCTTGTTAGGTTGAGGATGACTTCAAATTCAGTTTTGACGGTTACGATAGCTACACAGAGACTCCTGACTACACAGATGAGGAAATGGACAGTGATGATGACAAAATGACGAGTCCTATCATTACAAATGGCAAACAACTTTATGGTCTTCTGAATAATAAGGATAACTCGGGAATGGGTGAGTTAAGTTGACCTGTTTCAATTTATGCTCAACATTTATGAAATTAGAGTAATATAAAACAAGTTTGTTGAGAATAAACGCTCTATATATTTTTATGAAGAATATGAAATCTCTTACATGTCACAACTCGATGAGGATTCTTTAGTATGGGGGATTTTGTTATTATTTTAGTTCAATATTTTGGAATTTTCTAGTGCAGTATTTAAGGTTTCCCTAATTTTGTGTGCAATATTTAAGAATCATGTAATTTTAAGTGCAACATTTTAGGATTTCCTTATCTTTTTGTGTAATATTTTAGAATGCACATTGAATAAACGGAGGAGCATTTTTGTGTTATGAATTGATCAAAGGGCTGTATTTTGCATAATTTGATGTGGAATGATCACTGTGCCATTCATTTCAAATCTCAAATTGCAATATTTAAAGGATAAATTGTGTATTTTAGCTACATGCGAGACGTGTGGTGCTAAGGGTATCAGACACGCCTTCTACTCCAAATCTAAGAGGTTCTGTAGTCTGAACTGCTCAAGGCAAATGGCCGAAAGAAAGAGAGAGAACAAGATGAACAAAGCATCACAGGTTATAATCTCATTTTTCAACTTCTGACCACCCTGTAGTTTCTCAAATTCAATTTTTTATGTGAATATTTTGAAGCATGTAACACTTTCTTATGACAATTTGGCTAGTACTTGTAAGTGGCCATTCTGATAAATGGTGGCCATTGCTGTTCGATGGTATTTGCTTATCCTTGGTATTGCCGTTATATCTAGTTCAATCTTATTTCATTATAACTTTGTACTCAACTGGGCGAGCAAATGATACAAAGGGCTGAACTAATCCCTAGAGGACGGTAATTCTACATGACCTCAACCAATCATGAAGCTCAAAAGCATTATTAGCAAGTATAGGGTGGTCAAAAAATGTAAACCTTGCATTTTCCTTATATCTTGGTCTCTTTAAGGAATTACCCCCTGATATTTCACACATTTGTACATCATTCAATTTCCTACCACCCTACCAAATTTCATGACCATCAGACTGATAGTCACAATTTTACAGCACTTTGAATAACATGCTTCAGATTTGGCCATTATCGCGCTGTAGGCAAAACAGCACAGTTGTCTATGACCCGAATGCATTACTCAGCAGGTATGGCCTGAATGACACAAATGATCTCACTTTTGAGGTTTGCAATTGTCCCGAGGTCATTCTCATATACATGATCTCTGCCATATCCCCACAGGTAGGGACATTTTAGACGATGAGTACAGGTTTCCCCACAACGCAATAGTGGCCACTGGGCATGTTCTTTAAAGTACTGTAACATTGTAACTATCAATCTGATGGTCATGAAATAACGTAGGCTGGTAGCAAATTGAATGATGTATAAAAGTGTAAAATATCAGAGAGTTATTTTTTAAAATGACAAAGATATGAGGAAAATGGTATTAGGGTTTCCATTTTTTTGACCACCCTGTATTTAAATCAGCTGGAACTCTGAAATGCAACTGAATGCTTCAGATGGATGTACAGAAAATTCTTGATTTGCAGGCTAAGGGCAGTCAAAAGAAGAAAGGTTCTAACCATAAAAAAGCACAAATCAACACAATACCATCATCGTATGCAAGACAAAGTAAGATCAAGTTAACGACAATCCTAGTACAGTTTTGTTTGAAATAAATGATAAATGATACTTCATACTTATAATCATAATATCATTAATTTGACCCAAATAATCAAATCTATCTATACTCAATCCTATATTTGTAGATGCCGCTAGATCATTTGACTGGGGCAGCTACCTATCTGCCAACAATGCCTCAGCCGCTCCGGTAACTTGCTTTAAACATGTGAGTACACAAAGATTTTTCATTGAATTTTTTCTGTTAGCAAATAACATTGTTGCATTTTTATGTCCCCACCACATAGTGTGGGGCCATATTGTCGGCCTAGGCGCGTCCGTCTGTCCGTCCGTCCGTCCGTCTGTCCGTCCGTCTGTCCGTCCGTACGTCCGGGAGTTTTCTCCAAAACCGCTACAGATATCACATTCAAATTTTCAGGGATAACTTATGAGTGCCTATAGATGTGGATGAAAAAAATTTAACTCGAAACCTACTTCCTGTCGGCCATTTTGAAGTCAAATGCTAAAATCCTTGTCTGCAAACTTTAAGAAAAACGGCTTCACAGTTGCTTTTAAAACTTTAACATCTTGTTCAGCTCACTTCATTCTAGATCTGATTAGGTTTTGGACCTGCTAGCTCAGTCATGTCAGCCATTTTGAATGTCTTAAGAAAAGTTAGCGCGCGATAATACTTTGTATCATATTGAATGGTGTTTTTGAGTTTTCATACTTTAACTATTTAGTAGCTTTATAAATAATTTCAGATGTACTTTGTTGTAAAAGCCTATTTTATTATTAACTGTAGTTATATGTGATAATTTTGTAAAAAGAAATCAGCAAAAACTCATAAGGACTTTTTTATTGTCGGCCATTTTGGATTTTTCGGTCCTAAAATCTTGTCTGTGAAGTCTTGTCTGCGCGTTTTCAGGTGAACCGTTTGGTGGATCAATTTCAAATTTTCAGGGATGATTCTTAGTATAAAAATCTAGATCTCATTAGTTTTTTGGCATTCTTGGTAAATGTCAAGGCAGCCATTTTGGATTTTCCGTCTTAAAATTTTGTCTGTAAAGTCTTGTCTACTCGTTTTCTGGTGAACTGTTTGGTAGATCAATTTCAAATTTTCAGGAATGATTCTTAGTATGAAAATCTAGAACTGATTAGTTTTTTTGCATTCTGGGTAAATGTCAAGGCAGCCATTTTGGATTTTCCGTCTTAAAATCTTGCCTGTAAAGTCTTGTCTATGCGTTTTTAGGTGAACGGTTTGATAGATCAATTTCAAATTTTCAGGGATGATTCTTTGTATGAAAATCTACATCTGATTTGTTTTTTTGCATTCTGCGTAAATGTTAAGGCAGCCATTTTGGATTTTCTGTCCTAAAATCTTGTCTGTAAAGTCTTGTCTACCCGTTTTCAGTTGAACCGTTTGGTAGATCAATTTCATATTTTCAGGGATGATTCTTAGTATGAAAATCTACAAACAGATTAGTTTTTTGACATTCTGGGTAAATGTCAAGGCAGCCATTTTGGATTTTCCATCCTGAAATCTTGTCTGTAAAGTCTTGTTTACATGTTTTCTGGTTAACTGTGTGACGGATCAATTTCAAATTTTCAGGAGTGGTTCTTAGTATGAAAATCTAGAACTGACTAAATTTTGGGCATTCTGGGTAAATTTCAAGGTGGCCACTTTGGATTTTCCGTCCTCAAATTGTGTTGGTAAAGTCTTGTCTACTCATTTTCAGGATAACCATTTCATGGGATCACCACTTGGTGGGGACATTTTGTACACATTTGTGTTCTTGTTATATTATACATACATGGCTGACTGACCCTAATATGGGACTATCACAGTCACACGTGCCTGTGAAATTGCTCATGTGTGCTTATTAGCCTACATTAGCTTGGTGAAGCTATATTTCACACAGAGAACCCCTACCAGGTCCAGCTCAGATATACCCAGTAAATAAATGACAAATGTTATGTAATACAGTATAATTACATAATGACACATTTCAGTGCCCAATGTCAGCTGGCTGGGATAATATCACAGTGGGTATGAAGGTAGAAGTTCTCAATACAGATATAGATGTCGACCAAAATGTCTTCTGGATTGCAACAGTCATCAAGATAGCAGGTATGAATGAAAATGGAGAGAAATTAAGTGCATCACAATCACGTATTGTAGGAAACGCCTGATTAAGAAAGCTTGTTAGAAGAATCAACTATTTTCACGTGTTAACCCCACCCTTCACCGTGTGCCACTGTACTTTCTTAAGCTGAGAAATTGATGGCATATATGGGCTAGGTGGAGCTAAAGCTACCTGGAGAATCTAACTTTAATATTTGTTCTAGTCACTTAATCTGTATAATCCTCGCCAACAGGTCCTGTTAGGAATATATTTTCCCTAAGTAGAAGGTTATATTGATTGAAGCAAAACGGCTTACTACTGAATTATGGTTACAGGATACAAGGCCAAGTTACGCTATGAGGGATTTGGTGTTAATGACTCAAGTTGTGATTTCTGGTTAAATTTATGCACCCAAGATGTGCATCCCGTCGGTTGGTGTGCTACCATTGGAAAGCCACTTGTGCCACCTAAAAGTAAGATGAAATTTTATCTATTTCATGGTATAATTATCCCAACGAACGAAGTTCAGTAGGGATATAGTGAAGCCCTCCGTCCGTCAGTCAGTCCGTCAGTCAGTCCGTCCGTCCGGAAGATAACTCAAATACGAGTAGACGGATTTTCTTCATATTTAGTGGAAAGATGTATATTGGTGAATAGTTGTACGCAAAAAAAATTTTTCTCAAGATGGCCGCCGCTTTAAAAATGACGGGACTTTTTCGCAAAAACCATAAATTTTTCATTCTAAACCAAAGTAATTAATATTATTGTTTGAAATTTTGGTAGTATATTCGCAACATCTATCTATTTCACATATATTCTGTGTTTTTCATCCTGACCCCCAGGGGCTGTGTATGGGGGGTCAGGAAAACAGTAATTTTCGCTAATTTTTAGATCTTTCTGAAGTATAGCTTTATTATACTCAAATGAAAGGCAATTAAGAGTAGATTGCAAATATTGTATCTTTGTTCTGATTCGAGCCTCGTAAAATTCAAAATGGCCGCCTAATGTACGATTTCGCAATAATTTTTCGATCCCTTCAAAGTATGGCTATATTATACTCAAATTGAAGGAATTTTGGAGTAGATCACAATTATGGTATTATTCTTCAGATTTGTACCTCAGAAAATTCAAAATGGCTGCTTTGCAGGAATTCGCAATTCTAAAATTTAAATTTTTCAATTTTAACCAAAGTAATGAGTATAATTGATTGGAATTCGGTAATTGATATTTTGTTCGTTGGGATTTGCTACTCCGCGGAGTTGCCATTGTCTAGTTACGTGTATATCTGTTGAGTTTTACGTACATCTTGAATATGCATTCAATGGCAGCATGAATGATATAAATGGAAAGCATGAATTTTTATTTGGTATCATTTAAGATATTTTGCCTCTTATCATTTATATTTATATTTTTTACTTTGAGTGTAACCACATTCTCATATCATTTTATTTATTTAATTAACTGTGACTTCAAGCCAGTAATCTTTTTAATAAGCAAGTCAGTTTCAAATGACTAATTCTTCATAAACTTTGTGTTTGCATTCTATCGAAAATTGTGCATTTGTCTTTCAGCGATCCAATACAAATATGGAGACTGGAAAGCCTTTCTTGTCAAACGTCTAACTGGAGCTAGAACTCTTCCCAATAATTTCTATAATAAGGTATACAACTCATTAGGTATCCATTCTGTTAACATGTCAAATTAATAATGTATGTGCATCGCTTTGTTAATACATGTATATTAAATTCCCTTTTTATTTGTTCTAAATTATGACAGGATGAATCTTATTGACTCTTTCAGCTGATAGAGAACATTTCTGACAAAAATTTCAAGAAGTCAATGGAAGTGGAGGTCGTTGACAAGATGTGCGTCTCCGCCATGAGAGTGGCATCTATTGATGAAATAGTCGGAAATAGACTCAGATTACAGTATGTTGATTCAAAGGTATGTATCTATTTAGGTTAGAGTGTGGAATGGCCGAATGGGAGTATATTTTGATACATATTGTCATTAGCCCTTTATACGAGTATTATTCATTGTTGTGCTTGTTATGACAATTTGTTTGCGGACTTGGTATTTTTAATCAATTAGCACTTTCAATTAATATCCTTTGTTGATTAATATAATCGATTATCAATTATAACAGCTGTGTTACTAAGCTTTTACATTATTTAACCTAAATCCCATATTAAGTTATTAACATACATCTCCATATCCAAGGTATTGTTTCAGAGCCAATAAATAATGTAATTGGAGAAAATAATTATTTCCGATAATTAACTTGTGTGTGTAATTATGCTACAAAACATTATTTTACCTATTATTATTAATACATGTCATGTTATCCTGTAAGTAAAAGTGTTACGATATTCTCAATATTCTTGTATCTAATACATACTTCTTGAGATTCAGTCCTGGTGCTACAGCACAAAAGTTAATTTCGCCAAAAAAGTTAATTTTCAGAAGTTAATTTTTGATGCTGAATATTTCAGGAGGAAAATGATGAATTCTGGTGCCACACCCTCTCTCCCCTTTTACATCCTGTAGGATGGTCCTCATCTACTGGACATAGATTGCATGCGACTGCAGGTAGGCTAGTCTTCTCTATCTAGGGCTTAATTAGCAGCATGCATAATTTTCCACTAGCTGCGCTCACTCGTGAAGATATCAAAATTCACTCATGGATATAAATGATATTTTTTTCAAACCATAGGGTATTCCAATTTGTTTTGCTTACCTGTAAGATAAACAATGAATGGGAAACAAAAATTGGTGAGATTTTAGCAGATATATATTTATTAGGACAGAATACATTGTTTGGCTGTGACTTATAATTTTCTGTATATTTCAGAGTACAAAACCTCATCTCTAAACAAGGTGATTACTGGAAAGTATGATGAATTTGACACATCCCCTAGTATATTTCCAAAGGTAAGAAAATATGACTGTTTTGACACATCCCCTAGTATATTTCCGTTTTGACACATCCCCCAGTTTATTTCCAAAGGTAAGAAATATGACAGTTTTGACACATCCCCTATATATTTCCAAGGGTAAGAAATATGACAGTTTTGACACATCCCCTATATATTTCCAAGGGTAAGAAAATATGACTATTTTGACACATCCCCCAGTATATTTCCAAAGGGTAGTAAGTATGACAATTTTTTGGACATCCCCCAGTATATTTCTAAAGGTACGAAAATCTGTCAATTTTGACACATCCCCCAGTATTTTTCCGAAGGGTAGTCAATATGACAAATTTGACACATTGTTTCAAATCAGCCCTGGCTGCAATGTAAAACATTAATTTTCATTTTACAGTGCAAATATGGTGTAAGACAATTTTTCAGTTTAGTAACTGTACAATATTATTGTTATTTTATTTTAATTAAAAATTGTTTTTACTTTCCAGTTAGAAGATTCAAAAAATGGTGGCAAGTTTGAAGTTGGAATGAAGCTTGAAGCTATTGATCCGCTGAATCTAAGCACAATATGTGTTGCCACGGTGATGAAAGTTTTGAAAAAACATTACCTAATGATAGGAATAGATGGCTCTATAGCACAAAATGGCACTGATTGGTTCTGCTATCACGCCAAATCTCCATCCATTTTCCCTGTTGGATTCTGTGATGTGAACAATCTTGATCTCACGCCTCCGAAAGGTAATTTTTTAAAAAAGTTTTTTATTGCTTTTTCAAATTGATGAACTTTTTCAATTTATTTCGACACTGTACATGACTAAAAGAAATTTTTGATTACATGTAGTATAAAAATAGTATCTCAGGCCAGAATATTCCTGGGTATACCTGTCTGGCCATCCATCCATCCAGTCTTTCTATCACATAAACTTGCCATAAAGTTACCGTATACATGGATTGTGTTATATTTCAGTTTGTTTCAATTGGTTTTGTAATTTTTCTGCTAGGTTATAAAGACACGTTTAACTGGTTCCAATACCTGAAGGAGACCAAATCCCAAGCTGCTCCAGTCAAGCTATTCAATAAGGTACAGTAAACCATTTCCCATAATGCTTTATTAAATGATAAAATGATAATAGCTCATGAATAGATTTCCAATACTGAAAAGACAACACATGGAAAAAGGAAAATACACAATAGAACCTTATATACATTTAAAATGTTTTTCCATTATTATTACACAAAACAGTGTTATATTGCCATTTAAAAAAGGATCAAAGTGAAATAAATGACTATATGAGTAAAATATGAATTATTCTGTTTCAGGAGGTGCCGAAGAATGAGTTCAAACCTGGGATGAAGCTTGAAGCTGTAGATCTCATGGAGCCAAGGTAGATTTGATAATAAGTAAAATGAATGGGATATCTGACCTATAAACTTACACAGAGCAAGATGGTAAATTCCTTTAAATCATGTTTACAAATATAGTACAAACATGTAAATTAATGCTCTTATTTTTTCAAAATTATTCTCCATAACGAGATAGGTATTAATTACAGAACTAGGTAACATCTTAAAAAGTCACTGGACAAAAATCCCTGGGGATACCCAGAGATTTTCCCCAAAAATTACAATTAAAACAATATACTGCTTTTCTTCAGAATGCATGATTGCAAGCTATTTTGCACTTTCAGGCTGCTATGTACAGGAACTGTTGTCAAGGTTACTGGACGTTTATTAAGGATTCATTTTGATGGTTGGGAAGATACGTATGACCAGTGGGTGGACTGCCTTAGCCCTGACATTTACCCAGTGGGCTGGTGTGAGATGGTTGGCTACCACTTAGAGGGACCTAAATCTAAAGGTATAGCAATACATGGGTACTTATATTAAACTAAAAATGTCTGAGGTATCTGTTAATCCAATTCCAAATTTTTAAAGAAAACTTTGAAATACTTAAATGCTGTACATAAGGGTTTTGTAACAGGAGGTTTAAAATATAAAACATAATAGAGTACTTTTCCTGAGAGATATGCAGTTTTCATGAGGGATAAACACTGCATCTTAAACTGAATTAAGATATAGTGCATGTTATTTACCCAAGAATTCCAGTTGCTATGGGATACAGTATTTTATATTCTGTTTCTAGATACCCAACAACTCGCCCCATTAAAATACTGTAATCTGTTTCTAGATACTCAGCAACCTGTCCCAACAATGCAGCACATGGGAAAGAAGAAAAGAGGAAAAAATCAGGTTTTTAGAGGACCTAGAAAAAGTAAGTCATTCTTGTCTGTTGATTATTTGTATGAATATACCTTTATTCTTGGTGATGAGACTTTTTCAAAATGGGGGCAAGACTATTTTAGATTATTTGATAGCATTGTAAAACGCTTTTTAACCCAAGTGTACAAGCCCAGAGATTTATGTCTTTGATTATTTTAGTATATGCAACATTGTTTTAAAGAAATTATAACATGACTTTGTATTCTATTCATATTGTATAGTTGTATGTAGCCGCACTGGATAATAATCCATGTGCCACTGTTATAAAAGTGTTGGCAAATAAATAAATAAATAAATAAAAATAAAATATAAAATAGAGATAATAGACAATGCAGAAAAATATTAAAAATATTTTAAACTTTTTTTTGTAAAAATGTACCCTCTACAGTGTATTAGTAAAAGTATTGGTGCAAATTTCAGAGAGACCCCGCACCCAGCAAGAAATGAAGGGATATGAAATTGAGGCTGAGACTGGCCTACCTGCACATGTACAACTGACATCTGAACAAATAGCTGCCACACTCACACCTATTGAGGACATCCAGAATCACAACATGGGGAACAACGCAGATGAAAAACCAGATATAGGTGAGTCCTCCACTTTTAAACTGGTAATGTTAAATGGAGTAGAAGGGTAAGTTTCAACATTTTTGATCTTATATTATATGTCATGCCTATTTTCTAAAAAACATTCCTGACTTTACTTAAGGAAAATGTCTTGATTTGCAAAAGTTGAATGTATGAATTGAATTTGTATGTTTTATTTTCAGAGAAAAAGCCCAGTGAGCTAGCTCAGTCATTACCCACCACTCTCAATGCCCTCACCTCTCCAGTGAAGGTGCCTTCTAGGCCAAGCTTTCCTTCTCCCACTGGAGGTGTGGCACCTTCACCCACTCCTATTGGTCCAACACCTGGAGGTGTTACCAATTCAACAAATCTGATTGGCTCAGCTGCAGCCACAACTTCACCCACCAAAGGAGGTTATACTCCCAGCAGTCATATTCCACGAGTTGTGCAAGGAGAGGGGCCTAGTCACCTTGGAGACAAATCTAAGCCAATTACGCCAGAGGAATGGTCATCAATTGATGTGTGCCATTTTTTGCGTCTCAACGAATGTGGAAATCATTGTGATAGCTTCCGTAGTAGGGTGAGTGACATGCCCAGAAATGTTGGGAAATTCGACAGCCTTCCAAGCATGTGTTTAACATTATTTTTATTTTGAGAACCAAGGTTCATGACTAAGTTGAGAACACATTTGGCTTAATTTAACACATTGGCACCCAGTTCGTTGCTAAATAGGCAACCAGTTTCTCCAATTCCACTGCCAAGAGCAAAAAGTGGTTGCCATTGGCAGTCAGGGAGTTTTGACTTTTGAATCTAAAAGACATAACATATTCACCTGTTTGGGATAAGTTGTAAATTACACATACAAACATTGTACTGTACATATATGTATATAAGTTAACTGTCTATCAAACACTTGTGAATGAAATTAAATGAAATCTTTGGATATGAAGCTTTGCTCGTCAATTTGACCCTTAAATGGTCAGGCTATAGAGAATTGCACCAATGATTCCCTATGATCTTGTAAACAGACAATCATATGAGGGTGTATTAGGTATCATTGGAAAGGTTATTCAATTCCCAGTTTTTTTAGCTTACTTATTGAGCCATTTATTAAATGAAGAAATTTATATTCTAAGTACATAGGGGTTTTTCATTTAAAGTAAAAAAAACTGATAATTTAGGTATTTTACTAACTTTGAACAGCTCTAACTTTCCTCCTAGGGGGGGGGGGGGGTTAGAGTCACAATCTGCTCCCCCCAACCATTTAAGGGTTGATAATGAGAAAAAATTGAAATAAAAATAAAGTAATTTTGGTGTCAGAAAAAAAAAAGATTTATATAATTTTTGTTTTTGTTCCAGAGTATAGATGGCAGCACTTTTATAAACTTAAGTCGTGAACAAATAGTGAATCTAACGGGAATGAAAGTTGGCCCATCACTGAAGATATTTGATCTGATACAGCAGCTTCGGAACTTTGTTGCCAAGCAACCATCATAGCACTGGCCAGTGAGCGTCATGGCAACTCACATCTTTATCTCAAACAAGCATTCAAATTATACAAATCATTGTAAATATGTTACATACTTAATAGTTTAAAGTTAATAGAAGGTGAAAGGTATAAATGGATTTATGGAGGTCAAACTTCATATTTTGAATACAAGATGGAGAAGAAAAGGGGAGGTCACTGATAATACATACAGAAATGTAACTTAATTATATACGGCTCGTAGCTTTATGCAATATTGAAGGATTGTTAGAACACTGTTCCTGCGAAATGATAGACACGTATAAAAGCATTCAATCCATATCTCATTGTCAGATTCATGGGCTCATTTTAAGGAAAACCAAAAGGGATCACTTCAAAATACCTCTGTATGTGATGCAATGAAGTTAGTTCCATTTTGACTTAACACGCTTTCTCCATGTGGCAGAAAGGAATAGAGGGTGTACAATGTATGAAGCGATCTTTTTATTAAACACATCTATGTTCCAATTATACGAAATTCAATATCTGATGTGTAAAATGCAATATGAATTGCTGTTTTTATACAATCCTGGTTAGGTAGCTTGAACTTTTATGAATAAATAGAAGAAAATATGAGATGCATGTTGATTTTCCAAATGTCTTTCAGATGTGCATTGTTTGTATACTGTCTGTCGTTATCAGTGGATTCATTCAGCTTTATGTTAAAGTGTGCCTTTAAAGTCATGGTCAATATGTATTCGTTCATAGTTATTTAACACCCATTAATCCATTGTAACATTATGGCTTTATGTAGGAGAATTTAGTTTTTTGTTTGTTAAGTTTAATAAACCAAGCTTCTCGTTTAACTCTACCTACCTTTAATACCAAGTGCCCTACTTCCCTTATGGGAACTGTGAAGTAGAACTTTGAAGTTCAAATTGTATTGCCAAAAAAGGTCAGTAGTCTGTCATCAAAACCTTTAATTGTTCCTCAAGTCTCTCAAAACTAGGACTGGGGAATATATAATGGAGGGTGTGCAGGAGAGATTTGATGCAAGACTTTATGAGTGTTATTTGTATGTAAAAGTATATCAGTTATTTTTATGTTACATTGCATTGTACAATCTCATGTCATTATTCTACAGTATCATAGCCTTTATTAGGGAGGCTAACTTACACATTTTTAAGATAACTTGTACACGAATGTGTAGATCAGCTCTGTCCTTCATATTCTTTACTTGTCTGGTTTACTTTGAATGAATAAGGAAAAAGTTGTCGTTAATTACCTGGAAAAACCAATTGATAGGGTGACGGTTATCCCTGGTGGTCATAATATGATGTGTTTTTGTACAAGTTCTCTTAAAAACATGTAACTTAACCTCCCTATTGTCACTAATAACTGAAGAATATTATTATCCTGTATTGTTAAGTTTGTATATAATTGTTTATGTGTATAGTAAATAATATTTATATTGTTAAAGGTAACTGGTGTTTATGATTTAAATAGGACCCAGATTGTGATGAATTGTATTTTCTACAATGGAGTTCATATGCACTCCATGGAGCATGTCATTGTCTGTGACTCCACTTTACATCATTGTAAGGAAGAATATTGAATTATTAGAGAGGTTTCTTACAACAGGTTATAGCTAAAATGTATCCACAACAGCACTCGTTTTAATTGAGCTTCATAAGCATAAATCTGGTGTTAAATACGTTGAGCTTAAAACGTGAGAAACCTCTCTATTTATTGATGTGGGCCTGAGACCTCAATTATGACCTTTCGATTTGATTCTGCCATCTTTTGGTACATCAAAGATGATCTTGGACCATATAATATTGGCCAGTCTCAGGATATTATATTAAATAAGTTCAAAATTTGGCAGTTACAGAATTTTGTGTTATATTACCTGATTCTACGTTGATTAATGGTGTAAGACAATAAATATTGTCAGTTTGGTATACAATTCTATTTTATTACTGAAAAATGTTTCAAAATGTTTATTATGACGATTTTGGAAATAATGCAATATGTACTTGTGTTTTTTCAGCATACATGTGTTTTGGCATGATTTTTTTCCAAATTCTGTGATAACCCTACTATACTAGTAGTTTTTTATTAGAACCTTGATTGTACATATTGAAAATGAAATATCAACCATGTTATATGGACATAAATACCTTAATAGATTTTAACATATCTATGATTTAAAATAAAACTGTTTTGTGGTGTTTTTATTTGTACAGTGTACATTTAAATCAGAAATCTGTCATACTTCTTTTAACAAACTCTATACTACTTGGATTTTATTCTTGATAAAATGACATCATGTACAAAGGTATGATTTAGAAAACTGTCAAATCACAGATAAGTAAGGCATTTGACAGAAAAATGAAAGAACTCATTAATAATGATAACACTTTTTCATACATCTTCTCATTGAGTCTCAAAACCGTTTAGAGGACATTGCCTTGGTATTTACTCTAGTAGCTCATGCTGGTTGAGTATGCACTTCTATGTCCAGAGATTTTCTCTTCAGAAATCATCTATGTGAAGGTCATTGATCAATTTTGGCTTGGTAACATATTTGCCACAGAAGGCGAAATAGGTCAAATGGCCACGCCCTTTTCTACGCGAATACTCCCCCCCCCCCCCATTTTTGCATCTCCGGAACCGTTGGACATAGAAGGTTGTGTGACCACTCAAAATGTCCGGAATGGCCACATTATAGGGGGTCAATAATACATATGTGTTTGAAAAAGTCAATGGTTTTCAAGATATTTGCCAAAAACTGATTTTAGCATGTTACGCACAACAGTTTTCATCTATCCTGCATCATTTAAGACTGGATCCGCAGCCTCTATCTAGTCAGATCAGCGAAGGAAACAAACTTTTTTGGTTGTTGAGTTGGCCAAGAGGTCTTAGGTGAATGGGTACCCTAAACCACGAGGTTGCGAGTTTGAGACACGTGTGCTCCGTATGTTCATTCTTTTATGAGTACCATATCTAGTATCTACAAGGGATGCTGATGTATTATGAGTATTGAATATCGATTGAGTTTAATTATAAACCACGAGGTTGTGAGTTTGAGACACATGTGCTCCTTGTACAATAATTGTGTTCATTCTTTAATGAGTACTAGATATAGTATCTACAGGGTGGTCCAAAAAAAATTGGAACATTTGTTAATTGAACACAAAACCTTTATTTTTCCTCTAAAATGCACCAAAACTTTACTGAGCATAGTTCCGTCACTTATCTCTCTGATGTAAAGTTTATAGGTGCAAACCAAAAAGTTAATGTATTAAACTAATCAATGTTTGATATGACCCCCTTTGTTATGCGGTAAACACGATACAAAAATATGTCATATTCCGCAACGAATATGGCATATTCACTTGTGGTGTATGACAGATTCACCTGCGGTATATGGCATACACACTAACCAATGAGAACGTGATGCGGAAGTACGCAATTGTCAATTGCATCGATTGAACGAACAAGTAAAACGTTATAGATTATTATAATGATTATTGAATCAACAGTACTGTATATCGCATATATTAACTTAGCAGAAGTATCAGTCATCAATCTCGCGTAATAAACTTACTCAATCAATCCAGGATTCATATATTAGTACTCATCGCACTAAATATATTGATAATCCAGCGTATAGTTTTACATTTAGAGTTGATTCTCGCAACCAATCAAACCAACGCTTTCTGTATCACGTTTTCACCTGCGGTATATGTCATATTCACCTGCGGTATATGCCATATTCCGCAAGTGAGTATGACATATTCCACAGGTGAGTATCGGGTATTCACTGAAATCAATGTATCGCATATTCACTGCGGAATATCGCAAACTCACTTGCGGAATATGCCATATACCGCAGGTGAGTATGGCATATTCACCTGTATCACAAATACCGCGCAACCATGAATGTATGCCCTATACCGCGTAACACCCTTTTCTTAAATATACACTTGTCAATTTCGCAGCTACTTTTACATATATTCTTTATTTAAAAGCTTTAATGAACATGTTGATTGCTATACACATTTTATAAATCATATTTAGTTGACATGAAGAATTAACATCTATGGTTTACTGGAAAAGGATTATGTTATTGTCAACTTAAGAATACCCCAAATCATTATTATTTAAGAGTAGGAAAGAAAGAACATGTCAGAGGTGAGTGATTGTATAACCCATATAGCTACTAAACTGACAAAATCATTGTTTCCACTTTTCAGTAGAGGGGAAACTGACCAGTTATTTACAAAGCTTTATCAAGGACCACCTCTAAGCACATATAATATAATATAATATATCATTTGTGTTCTGGGAAACTCCTTTATGATCATTGATATACATACAGTATATTGATGTATTTCATACTTGAGTGGGTTTGGGGTAGATATCACCCGGGAATATATATCATATCTGAGGAGCGGGCAGGATATATTGTATATGTCCCGCTCTAGGCCAAATGCGGGCAGATATCCATCCCGCTCCCGGGAATTTTTTCAAAAGTTTAAAAAAGTTTAAAAATTTTAAAAATTTAAATTTCAGAAGTTTAAAATTTTTCAAAAAGTTTAAATGTTACAATTCTATTGTATTGAGCTGAAGGAATATTATGAAAATGTTACATATAAATTGTGCTTTTAGGCCTATCTTGTCATTTGAAAAAGGTGGTAAAGGTTATATCTACCCCTAACCCACTCAAGTATGAGATACACCAGTTATGTACGGTCGGTTTTGGATACAGTGTTTATCCAGCGGGAAATATGTGTATCTCCCTCGGTCCCTGCGGTCCCTCGTGAGATACATGTATTTCCCTTGGGATAAACCCTGTATCCAAAACCTCCCAGTACATCACCCTTATATATTCAATGAATATTATTCATATTAGAACAAGGAGGGGGGGTCATTTAACAGTCAAAACAGACTGCCCTGGGCTCTTTTTGGAGAATATTCAATCAGTAATATAACCAACAATAGCCATCAAAATATGCTTGATACCCATCAATTTGGGTAAAAAAATGTTGAATATGTTCATATATTTGATCTTCCAAGGCAACATATAAGTAGTTTGTTCAAGCTGAATTTTTTAATCAAGATGGCTTGGACAAAATCGCACGAGCAGAAGAGTGAATGAATCATTTCAAAACTGAGTCCCAGGCTTCACTTGTAATTCAGGAGAAA